TTGAAATGTTTTTAAAAGTTCAAATTTGGCATGATTTTTATGGGTGTTACATTTTTTTATAAACTTTTTGTTTGCCTTTGAAATATAAGTTTGAAGAAACACCATACACATATATCATTTTATCTAATTTTGAATAAAGTATGTAAAACTTAAATTGTGAATATTTGCTTAAATAAACTTTGAAAGGACTCGCATATAAATCTGAAGGTATATGTGTAATTTGAAGTTAAAAAATATGGTTGTGAATGTATAATTTTTTGCATTAAACTATGAATTTTATATATTAAGTTGTGAATTTTATGTACTGAAGTGTGAATTGTCTGTATTAAGATGTGAATTATTAATAAATTTATGTTAAATATGAATGATTTATGTATGAATGTTTTTATTAATTTTCATATGAACATATTTATTTTTAGTGTTGTATAAATATGTAAGAATGTATTAGTTTTTATAATTATTTTGCATTAAACTCTAAATAAGTAATTTAATTGGTAAATTAAATTGTGAATATAGTATTTAAGCTATCAATCAATGATTTTATATACATATCTGAAAGGAAGGATGATGATGAAGGTATCACAGGTGGTTTGTGGTGGCGTTCGGTAGTTGGTGTTGATGGTAGAGTTTAATATTATCTTTAAATATGTGAATTAGTGTATAGTTGATTGTATTATGTTATGTTGTGAATTTTATGTATTAAACTAAAAAATGGACTGTATTAAGTTGTATATTTTATATAAATTTTGTGTTCAAATATGAATAAATGTATGCATGAAAATATTAAATTGTGTATTACTAAATTGTAACACTCCAAATCAGGTATTACTCTTTAGACCCTTGAAATGGAAAAGATGGCATAAAAGGTCCCTTAGTACGCGGGGCGTACTCCAGGAGTACGCTTAGCGTAGTAATAATGCATGAACGCAGAGGGTGGCCGCGTACGCAGGGAGTACGTATAGGTACGCGGGGCGTACGCAACAGAGGGCCAAAACCCTAATTCTCGGACTTGACACCTATTTAAACACCCTTAAGCCTCTTGTACCAAACCATAATCAGCCTCCATAGCCTCATTTCACCCTTTTACACCAGAGATCCCTTGTGAGAGTGTTTTTGAGCTTAAGGAGTGTATTTGTGGCCATTTTAGAGTTCATTCAAGAAGGAATTGCTAAGCAAGCTTGGAGTGGCATTGGGCTTCAGGAATTCGCATCTAGTTCACCTTGAAGAGCTTCTGGAGGTATAAAGCCTTGATCTTGCTATCTTATTCATTAGATCTAGTTAGGGTTTCTATATTGTCCCTTTTTTGTGTTTATGGATCATCTCTAGAGAGTTGGAGCAACTCCAGAGCTTAGGAATAGTAGATCTAAGGTCCTTTGACTCATTCATGCCATAAAAATGGTGTCTTGATGGGTGTTTTGACCTCATGCATGGATTAAGACTCTTGGAAAGGTCTTAATGGGTTGTTGGGAACATAAGGAACATGCAAAGGCAAAAAGTTGCCAACTTTATGCCTTAGGACGTCTTAATGGACTCAGATCTAAATATTGGACGTTAGAACATCGAGTATTAAGCACTTAATAGAAGATGTGCTTAATCTATTTGTACGATGGGCGTAGATTAGCATGCGCAGTGCGTACAACTTAGGGACTTAGTACGTTACGCGTACCAGGGTGGTACGCAAGGCGTACGTACCTCATATGGGCTTGGACTTGTTTTGGGCTTGTAAGCCCTTTGGGCCTTAATCAGTTATTGGGCCTGATCACGTTTTGAGTTAGTGGGCCAGCTTATATCTTTTGGGCCATGGTTACTATGATTGGGCTTTATTGGGTCATGAGGCCCATTAATGATTTTGGACATGGACTTTAGGCCCATTAGCAAAGGAAGACTTTTTGGGCCATTGTGAAAGGACTTGGGGTTTGGGTTCTTCAATTGGATTATGTTCAGCCCTAACCTAGGGTAATGATATTATTGTTCAGCAAGGGTGTTCACGTCCTCACCATACCAATGGGTCGAAGGTACCAAGGCCGACCCATTTTATGATATTTGGTACTAGTTGATGTAGTGTTATGTGGCATGTTAGTTGGTTATGTGTTAGGAGGTATGCTAGTTGTATATGTGGTATACTTGTATGGAAGACCATGGGAGAGCCCATGACACTTGGATGTAAAACCATGTGGAGAGCCCATGACACTTGGATGTAAGACCATGTGTAGAGCCCATGGATTTCATATTAAAGACCATGGGAGATCCCATGGAACCTGGATGTAAGACCATGTGGAGAGCCCATGGCTTTCCTATTAAAGACCATGGGAAAGCCCATGACACTTAGGTGTAAGACCATGTAGGGAACCCATGGCATCCTGGAGTAAGGCCCTGGGGGGAGCCAACGACATCCCTATATGTTGTATGCATGACTTATATGGTTTATGTAGCTTTTATAGCTAATATGGATTATGTGATTATGTGGTTTGTGTGGGGTATGCTCTGGGGAACTCACTAAGCATTAGTTTACAGTTTGTTGGTTTGTTTCAGGTACTTCTGAGCCTAAGTGAAAGGGCAAGGCTTGATGGCGTGACATGCACTCTCTTAGGCATTTTTATGGGACACTCTAATATTTGAAATAAAATTGTTGATGTTATGAATTTGAAAACAAGTGTTCTTGAGATTTTGTGATTTATTGGAAATGTTTTGATTATTTAAAAATGAAAAATTTTCTTTTGAAAATTGGGTCGTTACATGAATTAATATGTTTATTAAACTGTGAATATGTCTTATACATGATATATATATATATATATATATATATATATATATATATATATATATATATATATATATAAAGAAATCTAAAATTTAGAAAAAAGAGAAAATTGAGTTTATCAAGACATAAATCTATTTTTTTAATTAAAATTTTGTATATTTTGCTGCAAAAATAAAATGGTATGTATTAAAAATAATTACCAAAGAAATGAGAACTATAATATTTGTTTTATTAAGCTGTGAATATAACTAGAAAATGTCATTAAATTTACTATTAGTCCAACAATGGTCCTACGACGGTCCGACGGCTGTCCAACAACGAGTGGCAATTAGTTGTAAATTAGAGAATATAAATTTTGTTTAATATAATATTAATATTTGATAAATCCAAAATGCTCTTAATGAAAACGTTTAAAAAAATGGTTCTTAGAGTTCTTAACTTTTTTGGGTTCTCATTTGAACCACTCACTATATATATATATATATATATATATATATATATATATATATATATATATATATATATATATATATATATATATATATATATATGGTTACGTTCATGTGAGACCATCATATTTTGTGAGACATGGAGACACAATCTTACCCATTAATTTTGGAGATAATTTTTTTTAAATGCAAATTAATGAAAATTTTTGAATTTTTTTTAAAATATTATTTTCGTCATTTATTTTATCCAAAAATAAATTAATTTAAAAAAAATAAAAAAATAACCGTTTTTTATTTTCAAAATATACGTGAAATATTATAATAGAATATTATATTGTAAATATTCAAATTGAATTTTTAGAATGTTAGAATGTTAAATATTCTACTAGAACATTTAACTATAAATATTCAAAAAATTCAAATAGATATTAGAATATTCTAACAAATCTAACAATTCAAGCAGAATATTAGAATATTTTAACATATCTACCAATTTTAGTAAAATATGAGAATATTATAACATTCTAAATATTCGATTTGATTATTTACAGTGTAATATTCTATTAAAATATTTCACTTATATTTCGAAAAAAAAGTGATTTTTTATTTTTTTTAATTATTATTATTATTATTATTATTTTATAAATTAAATAACGAAAATAATATTAATTTTTTTTTTGGATAAATGAAATAATGAAAATAATACTTAAAAACGTCGTGGTGGCTTAAATGAAATACACAAACTTATCTTGAGTTGCCACCAGTGTTGTAAAACTCGTCGAGTTGGCCGATTACTCCTTCGAGTACTTGCTACTCGGCCCCTTACCGAGGTAAGTTACAAAATCTCGAGTACTCCTCGATCGGCCCTTACTGAACTGAGCAGTGTTGTAAAACCCAATCAACTCGGTGATTAATATGTATAATATACTTAATGATTTATTATTTAACACACACACACATGTGATTATTACTACATATACATCTAAAATTTTCAGTAATTATTCACAAAGTGAGACCATAATGTGTTTTTCAGTTTTTGTGTATTCACATGTATCTAATTTTGTTATATATTTGAATCAACCTATGATTTTAACTTATGATTTTGACATATATAATTTCCCTAAAATTATTTCTACATGAATTACCGAATCCGAGTACTCCCCGAGTACTCGCTACTCGGTAGTCGGCCGAACAGGTACCGAGTAACGAGTTCTACAACCTTGGTTGCCACGTCATGGTTCCTCCCCACCACGTCATGACTTACCTTAAAATGCCAAAATTGGAAAAGTTTGAAGTACCTCGGGATCCGGGTGTTACATTTTCATTTTTTTTTCCGATAAAGAATAAACTCTTAAACTTGAAAAAATATTGGTTTTTTAGAGAACCATTAATAATGATTCTCTGTTGAACTTTTTTCTCTCTCTCTTTCTCTCTTTCTCTCTCTCTCTCTCTCTCTCTATATATATATATATATATATATATATATATATATATATATATATATATATATATATATATATATATATATATATATATATATATATATAGAGAGAGAGAGAGAGAGCTAGGTTCAAATGTTTCTAGCAACTATTGTGTGCCTAAATGCACCAATGAGAATTCAAGAAATAATAAATAATTAAATAAATTATTAAAGGGTATTTTGGACCTTTTGTACTTTTAATTAAGGAAATCATTTGATTGAAATCTTGCAATTAAGGAAATAAAGTAAATATATTTGACCTAGTCTCTCTCTATCTTATATCCTCTCTTATATTTCCTACGGTTCTTCTTTTTCACCTACAGGGAGGATGAAATCAAAATGAGGAGGCTGTTACCTTCGCTTAAGCCGCCAAGAGACACCCCCACCCCCCGAGGATCGATGCTGATGTCTACCCTTCACCTTCGTTTCCTGCCTGGTACACGTCTTGTGTTTCCTGTTATCTCTTTCCTCACTCTTAACGACTAATCCCTTGGCTCCAATCACCATTGATGCTCTCACGCCTTCCTCTCTGTATGCTGGAGACGAAGGTCCAGGACACCTTGCGTCCCTCTGTCGTAACGTAGAACAAGATGCTTTGATGGCACACGTCTTACACCAACAATTTTGGTTTTTATGGTTCTATGGTCGTTTTCTGTCTTCATCAATAACTCAATTTCATCTCCTTTTTATTTTCAATTTCCCCCTTATATTGTTGGTCCACCACATGTTCGATGAAATGCTTAACAAACAATACTGGGTTAAACCTGATAACAATGAATCCAGTTTCCTGTCTGGTACACGTCTTGTGTTTCCTGTTATCTCTTTCCTCACTCTTAACGACTAATCCCTTGGCTCCAATCACCATTGATGCTCTCACGCCTTCCTCTCTGTATGCTGGAGACGAAGGTCCAGGACACCTTGCGTCCCTCTGTCGTAACGTAGAACAAGATGCTTTGATGGCACACGTCTTACACCAACAATTTTGGTTTTTATGGTTCTATGGTCGTTTTCTGTCTTCATCAATAACTCAATTTCATCTCTTTTTTTTTCAATTTCCCCCTTATATTGTTGGTCCACCACATGTTCGATGAAATGCTTAACAAACAATACTGGGTTAAACCTGATGACAATGAATCCAGTTTCAACTATTGACTTAAGATCTATCCACATGATGGAAACTGGAAAGGTGAGTGTGGTGTGCAGGGGAAAACCTTTCCCAACTCGACATTTCCTACCTATTATCCTTCTTTGTTTATTTCTTCATAATTTATTTAATGTAGCTCAACTTACTGGTTTTCATTCAAATTAGTTCTCAAGCTATCATCTATGATTGAGTTTGAGTTTTTATTTGATTGATTTTGTTGTAGAGTCAAGTCAGGGGTTGTTGGTGACAATCAATTATACGAGGGCATTACTGAATCATCATTATAATGAAAGAGTGAAGCAGGTCGTACTAGACAGGTAAAGCCACTAAAACACTCATTAAAATCATTTTGTTGACCTGTAAATTCTTTCAGAATGAGGGCAATATTCTTTTATAATAAAGAGGGCTTTAGTTTGACGAAGGCTAATATTCTTTCAGAATGAAGAAGGGTAATATTCTTCACATGTAATCCTGCAAATTGATCAGACCTAGACAACCAAAAAAGCCACGGAAGCTTTAATTTTATTCTTTTACAATGATATTGTTCTCTAAGAATGAAATCGAATTTTATTCTTTAATTTTTTTTTCATATCAGAATGCAAACACGTGTTCATTCTATGAGAATATAAATATTACATAAAACATGTGTTGCTAGTAATTTTGACAGAATACATTTATACATGCTTTAGAATGTTTATGCATATAGAAGAAAAGACTATGATTTAAGTTCATTCTGTAAGAATATTATTGTTGTATTCTGATAGAATTGTAGTTAATTATTTGTATGTTTAATGTGCAGTTGTTACAAGTTTATCACTACAAATTACTTGGCAATGAATTTCTGGTAGCAATGGCTTGAAGACCTGATGTGAAAGGCTTGAAGAATGAATTAAAGAATGATCACACTCACTGTTTTAAGAATGTTGTTATTTTTTTTAAGAATTATACTTGTTATTCTTTCAGAATGTTTGTTATTATTCAATGAATCACAATCATACAATGTAATTATTTGGTATATTATTATTTCAAGAATCGATTTTGTGTAGTCTTTCAGAATGTATTTACTAGTTTATGGTTGGCATACTGTCATTCTGACAGAATAAAATCGAAAAATATATTTAATTTTAAAAACAAAAGAAATTAATTATCCCTAAAAATCCAAAAATTTCCTTTTTTAATATAGGTTAATTGACTAATATGCCCTTATGCTCAAATTTGTGTGATTATATGGTACATGTTATCCTATTCTACTATCATAGACCCTCAGATCATGACTTTTGATTATATTCCATCCAATGGTCCAGATCTGTGCATTCTGGCACACAATAGTTACTAGAAACAAAATAACCTAACCCTATATATATATATATATATATATATATATATATATATTGTAGCACCCGAGTCACTAGGTATGAAGTTAATGATTCATTCTATTTTAATTCAAGTAAAAAGGTGGTGGAGGACTCGTGAGTACGTTGGGCGTACATTTGTTACGCACGACGTACTCCTTGCATGCACATCATCGGGTGATCCCCGGCGTACGCTAGGCGTACTCAAGTCAGAGGCAAACCCTAATTTTTAAGGTTTGCACCCTATTTAAAGAACTTATGTCCCTCAAGTCTGTTACCGTCTCAGCCTCTACTGCCCTTTTAGTGTCAATCTCGAACCCTAGCCTTCTTGAGTGCATCTTTGAGCTTACCTTGAGTGTTTTGGTGTTCTTTGGTGGTTTTGAAGAAGAAGGAAGTTTGGGAAGAAGCAAAAGAGAAGAAAGAGCTTGTAGATGCAGAGTTTGTGCACCATTTCTAGCCTATTGAAGGTATAAAGTTTGAACCTTGATCATTGCAACCTTAGATCTAGGTTTAGGGTAGAATATGACATCTTTTGGTCCCATAGTTTGGTATCTTGGAGTATGAGCAACTCCAGGCCACTTGAGATGTCCTTTTGGACTCTTGGAAGTGTTTTAAGTCATAAAAATCGGACCTTGGTGGTTAAGACTCAACCATGCAAGTCTTAGTAACCATCCAAGTGAGTTAATGGACTTAATTCATGGTTTGAGCCCCATCCATGCATGCAAAAGCATAAAGTTTGCAACTTTATGGCTTAAGACGTTATTTTGAGCTTGGAACTAAGTTTTGGACGTAAAAGTTGAATAGAATAAGACTTGGGAATGCGAATGGGCTGACTGGCCAGTACGATGGGCATACTCTAGAGTACGTTGCGCGTATTGGGTCAGTGTCCCGACTCCGGATGGTCATTAGCGTACGATGGGCGTACGAGTCGTGTACGCCACGCGTACACAGTCTTTGGGCTCAGATTTTTTTTGGGCTCGATTAGTGTTGGGATTTTGGACTTGTTTAGGTTGGGCCTCAGGCCCACCTGTTGTAACAGGACATTTTTGCGCCTAAGGCCATGTTAGGTGTTCTTGGGCCATATTGGGCCTTAGAGGCCTTATAGTACGGGCATGATAGATTAGGATGGCAGAGGAAGTAGTAAGGAATGATTTCGAGGACGAAATCTAATTTAAATGGGGGGGGGGAGTTGTAACACCCTGTTTCGAGTCGTTTCTTAATTCGGGGTTGTGACCCGAAGATCAACTATAATGAGGCTTCGGGCTTTGACGAAAGAGAGGTTTAGACCCATTTGGATGTGGGTAATGTAGATTATGTGATCCAAGAGTTTGGTTTGTGCTTTGGAGCTCGAGGTTATAATGGTAAAAGTGATGGTTCAGACTTTTTATTGAATTTAAGATTTAAGTTCAGATACTTTTAAGTTGAAGGAAATTAGATGAGATTGTAGAATTTCTCATTACCTTTCCGAGCATATAAAGAACGATGAAAATGGATTAGGGATGTGGAAGTTATGACCTTTTGAAGTTACGAAAATTTTGGGTTAAGCCGAGTACGCTGGGCGTATAGGGCGTATTTGGTAGGATTGATCGCGGAGGACAACCTGGTACGCCAGGCGTACCAGGAGTATGTTGGGCGTACGCGACCCATACTCAAACCCTAATTTTGGGTCTTGGGCCCTATTTGAAGGCCTCAACTCATTTCCAACCCTCCTTACCTTCTGCCTCCACCATCTTAAGTTGTTTCCTCAAAACCCTATCCTTATTTGAAAGATTATTGAGCCTTTGAATGATTTTGGTGGGTTTTTGGTGCATTTGGAAGAAGAAGAAGAACTCATTGGAGAAGTGTTGGTTGTCTTGGAGCTTGTAGATTCAGGCTTTGTTCACCTTGATCTATCTTCTGGAGGTAAAAAGTCTCAAACTTGATGGTTCATTTGTTAGATCTTGCTTGTGAGTGGGTTTTTGTGCTTTTTGGTCCCATGAGTTGATTCTTGAGAGTAAATGCCACACCAAAAGTTTTAGGTTGTTCATTTTGATGTTGTGAGGTCCCTTGTTCATAAAGTTTGCATCTTGATGGTTGTGGACCAACCATGCATGAGTTGTTGACCTCTTGGTGAAGCTAGTAGACTAGATCTGGGTTTTGGGTTTCTTGGAGCCATGGAAAGGCATAAAGCTGATAAATTTATTGATTAAGACACCCATTATAACTAGATCTGAGCCTTGGATGTAAAGTCCTAATGGATTAAGCACTTTTAAGTGAGTCCTTGGTCATTTATTATGTTAGGAAGCTTAGTTGGGTGTTGGGATTTATTAAGTCATGATAGGTCATAAAGTCAGGAACTTTAAGACTCTAAACGTCCATTAGGCTTGAACTTGAGGATTTGGACATTTGGTCTTAAAGGAATAAGACCTAAAAATGGAGTTTTTGGATTTCTGCACCGTACGTTGGGCGTACTGGAGTAGTACGTGGGGCGTACGCACCAAGGTGCCATAATGGGCTATTTTTTGGCCTTAGGTCATCTGGTTTTTGGGCCATGAGTTGTTGGGTCAAATGTGGGACGGGTAAAATAGTCTTTTACCCATTAATATGATAGAGTATGAACTGGACCTTGGACTTTGGGAAATTGCCTTAATTATTAATTAGGGATAATATAGATGTGTTCAGTGTGAGGAGCCCGACAACAACAATGCGTGTGATTAAGTTATCTCTGGATTGAGGTGAGTTTGCTCACTATACTGTAGGATATTAGGATTGTATGTTCGTGTTGTCTTTGTGACTCTTATTGTATGCCTGTATACATGTTTGCTATATGTATGTGGGGTGAAATAGACTCGTACGGTTGAAAAATATCGATTGAGTTGGAATAGAATTGGGGGTGAAATAGACCCGGTAAAACCTTAAGCTGACATTTGAGTTGAAATAGACTCGGGGGTGAAATAGACCCGGGGGTGAAATAGACCCGGTAGTGTCTTGAGCTGACGTATATGTATGGTATGCGGTATTTTGGGGAACTCACTAAGCTTTGTGCTTATGGTTTCATATTCATGGTTTCAGGTACTTCCGGTTCGAAAGGGAAGGACCCGACATGACTGCACAACATCCCCCAGACTTTATTCCACATTTGATTAATTGTGATTTTTACTCTGATGTTTAAATACTATTTTTCACATCGAATTATTTTATGAATGGAATGTTATATGAATCAGTGTTATTAAAATGAAAAATTTACTCCGAATTTTTGGGACGTTACAAAGTAGTAACTTCATAAATTGGTATATTTAATCCATTAGAAATCAACCATAGGAAAAAGGGTGGATTTGAAACTAAATGAAAGTGCTTTTTAATCTTGGTTCAAAAATTGTTTTCTGTTTTGTTTGCTTTAGTTAAAAGTAATTTAGTTAACTGTTTGGTTGAAATTAAATTTTTTCTGAACTTGCAAAATCAGATACCCCCCTCTCCAAATCATAGTTATTTTCTTTAGTTTAATTAGTAGTAATTATTTTCTTGTTAGAAATTATGTTCTCCGTGTTCGACTCCTTACTTACTTTACTATACTACTACGCGACTAGATACATTGCCTAATTGTATTTTAGCTGGTAAAATTAGATTGGATTATAAATATTAAAACTGTTAGTGCATAATTAAAACACATCTCTTTCTCACTCACTCACTCTCTCTCTCTCTCTCTCTCTCTCTCTCTCTCTCTCTCTTCTTACAATTATTTTTCATTTAATTTTTTTAATCTACATAAATACCAACCATCTTTAGCATTTTAAAATAAAACCAATAATTATATTTTCTCTCAAATTCACTTAAAGTGCCTTCATCTTCCTCTTTAGAAACATTTCAAGTTTTGTTGTAAGCTGTGATCGAGGTTGGTAAAGCATTACAAACAACGTATGGCGCTTTACGCAACGATGAAGCCAAAAGTTCTCAACGAAAATCACGAAAATATATAAAGTGAGTTTTTGAAGTTGCCTATCAACGTTTGATGCATGACTACTTTGATGAGCATGTGGTTTTCAAGGGTACTATTTTCGAAGACGGTTTCGAATGCTCAAACCTTATATTAATGCATAGTTGAAGATTTGTCGAAAGATCATCGATTTTTCCGGCAACGTCCCGATGCAAGACGTACAGTAGGTTTCACTCCACTATAAAAATGCACAACCGCACTTTGTCAAATAGCATACAACATCCTTGTTGATGCATTGGATGAGGGTTTGATGATGTCCGTAAGGACTGAACGAGATATTCTTCACGGATTTTGCAAATTTGTGATTAGGATTTATGGTCCATGATATTTATGTACACATACACACAATGACATCATGCAATTGCAAATTCATCATGCAAGCGTACAAAACTTTCCCAGGAATGCTATGAAGCTTAGATTGCCTCCACTAGGCATGGGAAAATGGCCCTACTGCACACCATGTCAATATACATGATGTGATCTTGATCACCCGATGGTCATACTTGAAGTAGTGGCCTCACAGGATCAGTGGACATGCCCATGCCTTTTTTGGTTATCCTGGTTTGCTTAATGACATCAACATTCTTAATAGGTCACCGCTATTCAACGATATATATGATGGATATTAACCAATTTTTTATTTTCAAGTGCATAGAGCGTCATACAAGTACGATTATTATCTTGTTGATGAGATTTATCCAAAGTATGTTGTATTTGTTAAGTCACTTTCATGTCAAAATGATACTAAACTATTAAAACTTTAAGAAACCTTAAGAGAGAGCTAGAAAATATGTGGAACGAACCTTTGGAGCTCTTAAGAAACGTTGGCACATACGGAAAAAAGCCGACACTTTATTTTTATGAGAGAAAACTTAAAGAGGAAATATATGCATGTATCATATTACATAAGATGATTATAAAAGACGAACGAAAGCAATATGTGAGTATAATGAAAACAAGACCATTCCCAAGACACAACCAATATATATCGATGGCGAATAGTACATTGAAAGAAGAATTGAGATACATAACAATGAAACGTGTCACTATCTTTCTATAGACTTAGTGGAACATATTTACGGAGTTAAAAACATTGATCCAGTAGATGATTTGGAAGACGAATTCTCCGATGACGACTTCTTTTAGCATGTTTTAGTTATTTTTTTTTGTGTTTTTAAGATTTTATTTTTTGCTATGTATTTTTTTTATTATAGTTAATGTAATTTTAGGTTTTATTTAAATTAAATTGTTTAAATAAAAAAATTAATATGACATGTCGTGGTGACCATTTTTTGTGTGGCAAAAAACAATAAAAGTGTGGTAAAATTGAGATGAAATTGAAGTAGCGTGCCATAAAAAAAACAACCATAACTCCACTCCCTTCAATCTTATACATTTGAAGAAAAATAATATACTACTCATATACTAAAATGCTTATAGTCTTATACTTCTATTTTAATATTTACATAGTGTCTCAGTTAAATTTATTAAGATATATACATAATTTATTTGGGCTAATATTGATGATACAAAAAAGAAGTTGTAAAAATATTATAATCTATATAATTATAAAAATTAATATATGATATATAAAGTATTTTTATTCTATTAATAATAAGCGTGGTCTCATCACTCATGCGCTGGGCATACTTTGTTGCATGTACGAACAGAAACACACAGAAGAACACAGGCGACCGATTGACAATTGTTGTAACTTGTAACATTCGAATCCCCAAAATCCCACTCCACATTTCTACTAAAACCCTAAAATATCAGTACTCCGTAAGCTTCTCTCCGTTAATCTCTTAATTTCTGCTTCACTTCCACTTTACTGAAGATTGTTTTCACATCATCACTTGTGTTTATACATTCGTATCAGTCCAATCGTTACCTTTTTATTGTTTTGATGCAGAAGCGTATTTCTTCTTGATAATAAAATTGGTACCTGTTCTTCTTTTTTGCACGTAGTTAACGATATGTCAAATTAAATACTTCCTGCGTTTAATAAGAAGCTACATGTCGTACATGAGAAATGTTAAATTTCATAAGTTTTTCAATGATTTGGGTGTTTGATATAGTTTATCTTTGAAGAATAAGTTTACAGCAAAGGAGTAACCCCTCGGTCTGCAAAGTTTTTTATAAACACTTGACTGCTATTCTAGCAGTAATTATGACTGCTTAAGCGGTCTCCAATGGGTTGAATGTCCCCTCATAGCTTCAATGATATGGGGGTTAGTTAGATTTCACATTTCCAGATGAACTACTCAATGTGAAATTTCATATTGTTTACATTTTCTTTTTGTTGATATGAACTGTAGTTATTTTCTTTACTATAGAAGCCTGGCCCTTTGCTAATGCAGTTGATTTTAACAATTGTCATCCATGCAGTTTTCTCTCTGGATAAATATGGATGAACATGTTGTTCAAAATGATTGCGATTTGCAGTTGTCCTCATCTACTTTAGAAGGAAATTTCAATTATGCACCTCATTTAGCTGAAAGTACTTTGTATCAGCACATAACTAAAGCAGAAGACTGTGATAGCTACTCTGCTCCTCAATGGATTGGATACCAGCAGATGCCTCCATACTATGTTGAGTATCTTGTAGGAAATGGGATCTCTGATATGCAAGGAGAAATACCACATGACACTAATGGAATCGGATGCAGTTTTACATCTGAAGAGTCTTTTCTGAGCATGGAAGCCCATCAGGTAGACCCACATATGTGTATATTCATAATGATTGATTGCCATATCATGAATCCTTTCTTATGCATTTCATACAACATAATGTCATATGTCAACAGGTAAGACAATCAAGGTGTCAACATGAAGAAATACTGGCGAACAATTTCAGAAACACACAACATCAAATATGCTATCAGGTCACTTAAAAAAGTCAAGTTGTCTCTAGTACATGATGTCAGACATGAACACATCTATCTATGTGTATACATTTTTATGATCATTGCATATTTACATTAATATCTTATTCAGCTATTTCATTATCCTTGACAGAAGCAAGGGCCAGAAGAAGGGCTAGATACTGCTGCTCCAAACATGTCAGGCATCACCACATCACGCAGGACATATATGAGACAGAAGGCCACTGATGCAGATCGTGTAAGTCTGGTTCATATCTTGTTCTTCATATTAGCATATTATATCACACCTACAAATACAATACCAATTTGTTTTGTTTTCTGATCACTGTTACCATGTCCAAATAAAAATGCTTTCGAGTTTATTATTTTTTGTACTTTTCAGCGTCGCAGAACAAGGATTGCAGCATCACTAGATGCATTGGAGGATTTGCTTCCACAGTCCAAAGAGGTAATATGGATGGGTGTTAATGTGTTATGCCACCTACTAATTATGTTGGGTCAAATGTGCATTTATGCAACAGCATTTCACCTTTTCCCAGTAAACAATTTCAGAAACACACAACATCAAATATGCTATCAGGTCACTTAAAAAAGTCAAGTTGTCTCTAGTACATGATGTCAGACATGAACACATCTATCTATGTGTATACATTTTTATGATCATTGCATATTTACATTAATATCTTATTCAGCTATTTCATTATCCTTGACAGAAGCAAGGGCCAGAAGAAGGGCTAGATACTGCTGCTCCAAACATGTCAGGCATCACCACATCACGCAGGACATATATGAGACAGAAGGCCACTGATGCAGATCGTGTAAGTCTGGTTCATATCTTGTTCTTCATATTAGCATATTATATCACACCTACAAATACAATACCAATTTGTTTTGTTTTCTGATCACTGTTACCATGTCCAAATAAAAATGCTTTCGAGTTTATTATTTTTTGTACTTTTCAGCGTCGCAGAACAAGGATTGCAGCATCACTAGATGCATTGGAGGATTTGCTTCCACAGTCCAAAGAGGTAATATGGATGGGTGTTAATGTGTTATGCCACCTACTAATTATGTTGGGTCAAATGTGCATTTATGCAACAGCATTTCACCTTTTCCCAGTTAAATGCTTAATCATGTAAAATGTTTAAAACTTTTACAAATTTATGCAACTGACGCACAATATTTTATAATTTGATATTTGTCCCTTTGTTGAAGATGAAGGAAGAAGAATGAAATTAGGTGAAAGTCCGCTACATTTGTCCAAAAGCAACACCCGTTTCACTTAATCGCCATTTTTTTTTTCTGCAGGGAAACAAAACAAACATAGTTGATGACTGCATAGAGTATATAAAGTATTTGCAGCTTCATATGAAGGTGAGTGACTGTTGTCTTGCAACTTAACAAAACCCCTAAACTCTTATAATAAGATGATTGATTGCCATATATGTACAATAAAAGTGGTCTAGTTTCCGATAACCCAATCGGGTGAATATTAGAAATCATGAGTTTTAAATCTCTCAATGGTGCAGGAATTGAGTCAGAACAGATTGGTAGGGGAACCAACTTCCAATCACTTAACTTACCTTGAGGTATCTCTAGCTATGGTCTTGTACTGTCTACTGTGTTTGTGTTTTGTATGTATTTTTTAAACTTTAAAAGGACTTTTTCAAAAGGAGTTTTTAAAAAAGTGTTTGGATTACAAATTTTATTTATGTTTCAGTCAAAAAAAAACAAAAAAAAAAGATGGGACAGGACAGGGTTTTGCTTGTCAGTGCAAAAAGACGAGAATGCCCTCTTCATAAAAACAATCAGAAAAGGGCCTGGTGAAATAAAATAATAATTATAATTACAATGGACAGGGATATGGTGCTTACCTTGTTGATGAAAAGACTGCTACTGCTAGTGGACCACTGCAAGAGATGCTTGGAAATTTGATGGAAACAAGTCCCTCTGCAGCAATTAAGCTGCTAGAGAGTCGAGGTCTTTACATGATGCCTATTAATGCTCGCTCCTCCTAACTCCTAACTCCTAACTCCTAACTCCTAATTCAACATTTGAGATTTCAACAAAACACCAAACACTTGTTATTTTGTTAATGTTCTCTCTAAATTCTAAAACTAAATCCTACTTGTCTTTTACTACTTTTGTCATGCACTTCTTATTCTAAAACTGATACTCCCTCCTATCAACAAACAATATGCTTAGAGATAGTGATACGGTTTAGGTGGATGGGATGGGATGGGCAACCTTAATATATATGTATTCCACATTTTGCCCTTTAGTCATCATAAGGTTGGGGTCAGTTTGGGTATTATTGCATGATGCAGGGATATTGTGGGGCTTTGCCAAGTTGGTCAAACCAGATGCTCAGATAAGCTAGCTTGATTCTCTTGCAATTTTAAGTCAAAACAAATGGAATCCAGATAGTGTGGTAAGTGGTAAGGTCATCTCATCTTGAAATATATATATATATATATATATATATATATATATATATATATATATATATATATATATATATATAGTAAGAAGAAGTAGAGAATAAATTAAGGACCACAAACAAAAGTAGTCCCAAATAGAGGACAAAATAAAAATAAAAATAAAAATGAAAATGGTACTAACCAAACTACTATTTTGTTTGTATCCCTCACCGTTCACCCCTTTTGGCTTGGCTTGCCCACTGTTCCAACAAAGGGTCAACTGGCATTTGTTCTGGTTCTTGTTCCCCCCTCCTTTTTCCTTTTAACATTGCCCCCAACCCCAATCCCAACCCCAACCCCTCCCTTTCTCCAACTTCAAAGCATCTGGTTAAGTAATATGTCTGTTTTTAGATTTCTTAAGTATAATAATAGTATATTAAATGTGATTCACCTTTTTTTTTTCCTTTATAAAAAGTAGGGCTAAAACTCATGCTTGATCTTTAACCCACGCTTTATTTATACGTTATTGGCGATTTTCCCTTTGGTTTTGTGTTCACAGTTCTTTAGTAACTTAATTATGGTTTTCCGTTTTATATATATGGTAAGTAAATTCAAATATACGCTATTTTGTTTTTTGTTTTTTTTGTTAAAAATAAAATAAAAGCTAATTTTTTGGCTTTGTGTTTTGAATTTTTTTTTTCTTTAATGTTTTAAGAAAGTTGTAAACTTCATAGAATATAAGATAGGATAAGCGTTTATGATTCTGAAAAATGAAAAAACTGTCCACGAAAGATGAGCCTTTTAGTGTATTCACTTTCATGGTTAACAAAAAAGTGGTCATGGTTCATGAGGAAGCCAAATATTTGACGTTTTGATTTTACTGAAATTAATTTCCCATTTTGTTCTGAGAAAACACATGATTCTATTAGGTATATTTGAAGGAAAAAAAAATCGTTTTTTTGATGTAAACTTACCTGAAAAATTATTTGTAATACTCTTTTACATGTCCTTGTCATCTTAATTTTTTTTTCGAAGTAGCCACAAGTAGAACGTGATAGGGCTCGTTACCAAGTCACAACTCACAAGTGTATTTGCAAAATCCAAATTTTCGTTAAACTCTTACGTTCTGATCAATTTATGATAAAAAAAATGTGATGATTTTTCTAAATTAACTTTTTTTCCTAATAAATTCAAATACAAGCCAAATGGGGAGATAGAACTATATAAGGCTTAAGGCTTGGTGGCAAAAAGTTTTACCCAAATTGAAGACGTTGACATTCATGAGACCTTTGTTCTGATGGAAAAAATTGTGACAGTTAGATGTGCAACAACTAAGGCACATCTAACTGTCACAATTAAGGCAACAATTCAGCCCTTCTTGACTCGAGTACGGATCCTCTTCTTTCAGTAGTACGGACCCATACTACCTTCCACATCTATCCGTACTTTCCTCAATGATTGCTTTGACTTCACCAAGTCCCTTCTACTACCATTGCTTGCTGCACTAATCTCATCCTAGGCTTACCCTAGGGTAACTCTCCGACCTACTCTCCACCATCAGCTACATAAGGAATCCCTGCTACCTTTACCTAACTAGCTTGCGAATACCATTATATATCGCTAAGATCAGATGATTCTTCGACTGAGAGATCCTACCCTACAACGGTTGGACTCAAACAAGAGCTGCGCAATAGGGCTAGACCTAACCTTCTGAAATTATTTAATCCTTACAATATGTAACTTAACGTATTCGTTCACTAGTTAGTTAACGATAGCTAGAACTCCTAAAAGCACAAAGCAAGCAGCATTCGGGCTTTGAGTAACCAAACCAAGCATGTCCTATCCAAGCTATCATATGACTGACTAATCAGTTCCAACATAAGCACATATAGCAGGCACATAAGGCATCTTCCTAGATCCTTAGCCCTAATCTAGTATGCAATTCTCATACACATAAAGCAGGCATGTAAGGTATCCTTCCTAGATCCTTAGCCCTAATCTAGCATGCAATTCTCATAATCATATCATATATCTTAACAAACATGTATGGGTATCTTGGGGAAAACTTACTTGAGCTCGGCCGATTGCACGCATCACACACCTCGTTCTTTCTAAAAACTCCTTATTTTAAATTTTAGAAAAAATATTTTCTTGTAAAAAAAATCTTTCAAACCCTCGATTTGAGTCCAGACACCCCCGAAGGTGTGTCCGAATCCCTCAAACCAAGGCTCTGATACCAACTTGAAACATCCCAAATTTCAAGACCAAAAATTTCGTTTTTAATTAAGTAACTTATAAAATAGTTTACTGAAAACATCATCAATATCATATCAAACCCACAAACCCATAAGTCAAATGTCATAAAACATGTCATGGAATAATGATGTCAGAGTACAATCCCAAGAACATCATGGTGCGGAAATAATAGTGTGATGCGCTGCTACCGAGCCGACTCCTTTCCCTTTGAAGAAGAAGGACCTGAAACAAAAACTATAAATCGTAAGCATGAAGCTTAGTGAGTCCCCCCATCATACATACCATACACATACTGCCAGGCAATTCTGGGGTGCCTGACCTACCCATGTCAAGCCATTCTGGGGTGCCCGACCTACCCTGCCAGACAATTTTGCGGTGCCCGACCTACCCTGCCAGACAATTTTGGGGTGCCCGACCTACCCTCCGGTTTATCTCAACCGGCTACGGGGACTATTTCACCCCTACTACTACCATATAATAACATAGCATAAACATACTGCCAGACAATTCTGGGGTGCCCGACCTACCCTTCGGTCCTTACGACCGTGACACATGGACTATTCCCCCTACTACTACTATCACATAACATCATATCATGCTAGCACATAAAACATATAAGGTAGTAGCCAACCTAGATAATTATCACAAAGACAATCATCTAATCAAACAACTCCTACTAGTAGGCTGACATTGTGGTCGTAGACCCACTTCTACTGGAAGGTAACTCACCTCAATGTCGTGCAGTAACTGAACTGTCCTCGGTGTTGGGATCAACTCTCCTCAAACTCCTACACATATCAGTCTCCTTCCGTTACTCCTTCATATTCATATTCCCTTCAAGGGTCAATCTTGGGTAATGGTCAAAGTCAAAGTCAACACTCTGGTCAAAGTCAACATCCTGGTTGACTCAACTCGCCGAGTTGGTCCATCACTCGTCAAGTTCCATAATTCAGAGAATCTCAAATTCGTGATCTGACTCGTCGAGTTACCCTCTAACTCGCCGAGTTTCTCCTCATGACAGAATCGAGACTTTCCATTTGAACTCGTCGAGTCCTTCATTGGACTCGTCGATTTCTCCTTCATACAGTTGGGACATTTGCTCACTGACTCGACGAGTTCATCCTTGGACTCGTCGAGTTATTGACTTTTAAGTCCAAAACACGTCTAACTGGCTGAGTCATCTTCTAGACTCAACATGTGTCTAAGTAATAGAGAAGGTTTGGAGGAACCACGACCCGACTCGCCGAGTCCTAAGAACGACTTGTCGAGTCCCCCATGATCCAAATCTTTACAGTTGATTTCATTCGGGCTCAATGCATCCAAAACATAGATCTGGCCTCCTAGGGTCGATATAACACGTAAAGTTTCAAACTTTACGTTTATGCATGGGCTATTTAGCTCAAAAAGCCCTAAAAAGTGGTTCATAGGATGCATGGGACTCCCATGGCCATAAAGTTGGCACCTTTATGCCATGGAGTCCCTCAAAGACTCTAGATCTGAAGTCAATACCCCAAAACATGCTTGCATCCATGAATGGTTCCAAAAATGGCTCCTTAAAGCCCTAAACTACTCCAAGAAGAAATCTAATAGATGAATGGACAAGGTATAAACTTTATACCTCAAATGAGCTGGAAATGGAACAGAACCTCTGGATCTACTTGCTTCCTCTTGAACTCCCAAGCTTCTTCTTCCTTCTCAAGCTTCAAAACCACCACGAACACACAAAAATGGCTCAATAACACTCAAAATGGGTTAGGGTTTCGAATTAGGGTTTTCTGGACTAAGGGAGGCGATGAGGGAGGCCACAATGTGGGAGTTAAGGCGTTTAAATATGGTGCAAACCCTGAAAATTAGGGTTTTACTTTGGCAGACCTACTCGTCGAGTCGAGGCTCCTCGACTCGTCGAGTAGACTTCAAGTCCCGCGCCCAACATATCCAATTCCTACTCGACGAGTTTGGGGCCTCCAACTCGCCGAGTTCCTTAGCAAAATGAATAATTCTTAATTAAATACGTACCAGGAACCGGGCGTTACATGACATTGGCCAGAGCAAAGAATGATGAAAGAGTTTAATGTTATTTTAATCAGCAACTTGGGGGTTCGGATCGTTCAACACATAAAATCGTTTAACACTCCCTCGTCTGCTCATCCATCTGCTCGGATCCAAAGCCCGAGCCTGATCCCTCACCAGTTCCTGAAGTGCCAGTCGGCCTAGGGTGTAACGTCACCATACTGAAAATACACCATATCAAACATCAGTATACTCATCAAATCTCGAGGGATCTAACATACTACAAGTTTCTTGGATTCATCTCAGCCTTCCTTTATTCGAGTATGTATCCCTCACCACCAAGTCCCTTCTACTACTACTGTTGATCTCGTGCTAAACTCATCCTAGGCTTGCCCTAGGGTAATCACCAACCCACTCTCCGCCATCAGCTGCATAAGAAGTCCCTGCTATCTCCCCCTAACTAGCTCG